GAGTGCAATGGCGCGATCTCGGCTCACCGCAACCTCCGCCTCCCGGGTTCAGGCAATTCTCCTGCCTCAGCCTCCCTGAGTAGCTGGGATTACAGGCACGCACCACCACGCCCAGCTAATTTTTTGTATTTTTAGTAGAGATGGGGTTTCACCATGTGGACCAGGATGGTCTCGATCTCTCGACCTCGTGATCCACCCGCCTCGGCCTCCCAAAGTGCTGGGATTACAGGTGTGAGCCACCGCACCCGGCCCGTTTTTTTTTTTTTTTAATGTTAAATGTTACTTTGTGTTTTTTTTTAACGTTAAATGTTACTTTGTTTATTGTAAAATTCTTAACCTATAATATATGGTTGGCAATACTGACTGACTTACATGAGCCTGTTTGCCCGCGGCTCTGACCACCAAAGAAACAAAAAGTAATTAAAAAAATGGACTCCTGGCCAGGCACGGTGGCTCAAGCCTGTAATCCCAGCACTTTGGGAGGCCGAGGCGGGTGGATCACGAGGTCGAGAGATCGAGACCATCCTGGTCAACATGGTGAAACCCCGTCTCTACTAAAAAAAAAAAAAAAAAAAAAAAAAAAAAAATACAAAAAACTAGCTGGGCTTGGTGGCGCGGGCCTGTAATCCCAGCTACTCAGGAGGCTGAGGCAGGAGAATTGCCTGAGCCCAGGAGGCGGAGGTTGCAGTGAGCCGAGATCGCGCCATTGCGCTCCAGCCTGGGTAACAAGAGCGAAACTCTGTCTTAAAAAAAAAAAAAAAAAAAAAAAAAAAAAAAAAAAAAAAAAAAATGGACTCCTTAAGAACTCCATGTAATTTGTAACTTTTGTAATTAAAATAACAACGACAAAAGCCTAACATGGTGAAAACACACAAACGTTCATAGACTTGACTATTTCTCACCTTACACCGCTCATGAGGGTCGGGTGGTTTGCAGGGAAGATCAAATAAAATGAAGACTTGCTCTTGATCAGATGTCAGGGAATCAGGTCAGTTCTGTAACTGATAATATCTATTCGCATACGAACAGATATTATCTCAGAGAAGGCAGATTAGAACAAGGATAAAGCTCTAGTTGGTAAAGAAGTAGCAGTCACTCTGCCTGACCTGTACCATTTCTGCTCCCCGTGCTCAGTCCTAACAGGGTAGTCTGGCAGGACACACAGCGATCTCCCTCTCAGTTTAGGAAGGCTGGCAAGAGAGGATAATTTAAGATTCAAAAAGAAAAAAGAAAATGTAACAGTCATTCATTTTTAGCCAAGAAAATGAGTGTTTGATATTTTGTGGGTGGCACAGTAACCTTGTTTAATTTTTGTCTATATTTAGAAAAACTTATGAAGAGACTTTGCTTTCTCTTGTTTTATCATAGTCTTGGAGTAACTTTTTCTGAGGTTGGGAGGCTGTTTATGTCCAATAGGAAAATAATTTGTCTTAGCTATGTGTATCAAGCCAGCTTTCAACTGCCAGGAGCTGCTTTGTTTTCATCTTTCTCAGGGGATAGTAGAAGAGATAGAGAAAAGTAAATTCAAGAGAGATTTAGAAAATCAAGTCTGTACGACTAGCTATGTGGGCAGAGAGGAGTTCAGGGGAGATTTCTAAGTTTCTGCCTTGCAAACAGAAAGGATGGCCATGCCATTCATTGAGACAGCACCAGCTTTCTATTATCATCTAATTTAATACTTACCAAAAATATTATTATTATTACTTTGAGACAGAGTCTCACTCTGTCATCCAGGCTGGCGTGCAGTGGTGTGATCATGGCTCACTGCAGCCTCTGCCTCCTGGGCTCAAGCAATCCTCCCACCTCAGCCCTCCTGAGTAGCTGAAACTACAAATGCACATCACCAAGCCCAGCTAATTTTTCTGCAGATGGGATTTCACTCTGTTGCTCAGGTTGGTCTCAAACTCCTGGGCTCAAGCAAACCACCCTCCCCCGCCTCCCAAAGTGCTGAGATTACAGGCACGAGCCATGTTCATGGCTCTCGAAGTGCTGAGGTACAGGCATGAGCCAAAGATAGGTGAAATGTTAATATTAACGACCCATTTTACCGAGGGGAAAGAAATTAAGGCTTCAGAGAGGGTAACTATATAACCCATTGTCACATGGAACCAGAACTCAAATTTAGGTTTGTTTGACTTCTAAGGCTTAGTGACAGGCCAGGCACAGTAGCTCACTCCTGTAATCCCAGCATTTTGAGAGGCTGAGGCAGACAGATCACTTGAGGCCAAGAGTTCAAGACCAACCTGGCCAACATCATGAAAACCCGTCTCTACTAAAAATACAAAAATTAGCCAGGTGTGGTGGCACATACCTGTAATCCCAGCTACTCAGGAGGCTGAGGCACAAGAATCACTTGAGCCCAGGAGGCGGACATTGCAGTGAGCTATATCACGCCACTGCACTCCAGCCTAGGTGAAGACTCGGTCTCAAAAAAAAAAAAAAAAGTCATACTGACTTTTAAAATTTTTATATAATTCTGCTATCTAGTTCCAGACTATTTTCATCACCCTCATAAAAAAAAAAAAAAAAAAAAAAAAGCCGGGCGCGGTGGCTCAAGCCTGTAATCCCAGCACTTTGGGTGGCTGAGGCGGGTGGATCATGAGGTCAAGAGATCAAGACCATCCTGGTCAACATGGTGAAACCCCGTCTCTACTAAAAATACAAAAAATTAGCTGGGCATGGTGGTGCGTGCCTGTAATCCCAGCTACTCAGGAGGCTGAGGCAGGAGAATTGCCTGAACCCAGGAGGCGGAGGTTGCGGTGAGCCGAGATCGCGCCATTGCACTCCAGCCTCGGTAACAAGAGCGAAACTCCCTCTCAAAAACAAACAAACAAAAACAAACAAACAAACAACAACAACAAAAAATCTCAATATTGATTCTTCCTAACCGTGGGCATGGAATGTTTTTCCGTCTGTTTGTGTCATTTCTTACTTAATTGAGCAGTGGTTTGTAGTTCTCCTTGAAGAGGTCCTTGACATTCTTTGTTAGTTCTGTTCCTAGGTATTTTCTTCTCTTTGTAGCCATTGTGAATGGGAGTTCACTCTTGATTTGGCTCTCTTTAAGTCTGTTATTGGTGTATAGGAATGCTTGCGATTTCTGCACGTTGATTTTGTATCCTGAGACTGCCGAAGTTGAGCCGGGAGTAGGGAGTTGGGGAGGGATAACATAGAGAGAAATGCCAGACATAGGTGAAAGGGATGGAGGCAGCAAACCACATTGCCATGTATGTACCTATGTTCTGCACATGTGTCCCAGAACCTAAAATGCAATAATATACATATATATATATATATAAATATATATAAACAATCTCATACCCATTAAGTAGACACTCCTCATTTCCCCTCCCTCCAGTCCATGACAACCACAAATCTTTCTGTCTCCATGGATTTTCCTATTTCGGACATTTCATATAAATGGAATCATGCAAGGAGTAACTTTTTGTGTCTAAATTATTTCACATAGCACAAAGTTTGCAAGGTTCATCCATGTTGTAGCAAGTATCAGCACTTCATTCATTTTTATGATTGAATAAAATTCCATTGTATGGATATACCACCTTTTGTTTATCTATTCGTTAGTTGATGGCGTGCCTACTTTTTGGCCATTATGAATATGCTTTTTTGAACATTCATGTACAAGTTTTTGTTTGGACAAACATATCTAATTCTCATAGATTTATACCCAGGAGTAGAATTGCTGGGTCGTATGGTACTTCTGTGTTTAACTTTAGAGGAACTGCCAACTGTTTTTCACAACTGCTGTATCATTTTATATTTTCACCAGCCAGTATATGAGGGTTCCAATTTCTACAGTACTCATAATTGGGTTTGTGTGTATGTTAGTTTGTTTATAGCCACCCCAGTGGGTATAAAGTAGTATCTCGTGGTTTTAGTTTACATGCCTCTAGTGACGAATGATATCAAGCATCTTTTCATGTGCTTATTGGCCATTTGTAAATATTTAGAGAAATGTCTACTTAAGTCTCTTAAGTGGCCATTGGGCCATTTTTAAATGAGGTTGTTTGCCTTTTGTTATTGAATTATAAGAGTTTTCTTCTCTTTCCTTTTTTTTTAAAGACAGAGTCTTGCTCTGTCACCTAGACTAGAGAGCAGTGGTGTGAACATGGCTCACTGTAGCCTCGGCTTGCTGGGCTCAAGAGATCCTCCTGCCTCTGCCTTCCATATATCTGGGGCCACAAGCTCACAGCACCCTGGCCAGCTAATTTTTTAAAATTTTTTGTAGGGATAGGTCTCACCATCTCAGGTTAGTCTTGAACTCCTTGGCTCAAGCAATGCCTCCTCTTCAGCCTCCCAAAGTGTTGGAATTACAGATGTTACCCACTGTATCCAACCTAAGAGATCTTGATATGTTCTGGATATTAGACTCTTGAGTAGAACTAAATACACAAACTGTTTTTCCCTCTGTTCTCATACCACAAAACCATCAACACAGAAGACTTCTGTAATCAACGCAAGCAATCTGTTCTGCAGCAGACATAAACTGGGTATTCTCCAGTTCAATTCAGATGCCATCTACGTGGACATAGTGGCAGATTTCACAGGTTGAGGGCTCAGTCCCACAGGATCATCCCCTCCCTCCCACCCGTCACAAGTCCAGGCCTCTGGAACTTCTGACCAGTCACTTCAAGTTGAGGTTCCCAGGACCTTTGATGGATTTGATTAATTCATTAGGACTGCCCACAGATCTCAGGGAAATATTTAATGTTTACTGGTTTATTACAAGGGATAAGGACACAAATAAACAGCCGGAGGAAGAGACACATAGGACAAAGTCTAGAAGGGCCCTGAGTACAGAAGCTTCTGTCCCCCAAGAGTTGTGGTATGCTACCCATCCCACCACACCGATGAGTTGGGATTTTTTTTGTTTTTGTATTTTTCTGTAGACATGGATGACCTCCGCCTCCTGGGTTCAGGCAATTCTCCTGCCTCAGCCTCCTGAGTAGCTGGGATCACAGGCACGCGCCACCATGCCCAGCTACTTTTTTGTATTTTTAGTAGAGACGGGGTTTCACCATGTTGACCAGGATGGTCTCGATCTCTTGACCTCGTGATCCACCCTCCTCGGCCTCCCAAAGTGCTGGGATTACAGGCGTGAGCCACCGCGCCCGGCTATAGCCAGTTTTTATATGGAAAGGATGGGGAATTAGAGTAATATTTTTAGGTTTTATGACTGGTTTGGGGGAAAGGAGGGGCTGGTTTCTATGACTGCCCTGTGAAAAAGAGATTCTAGTTTTTATGACTGGCCTGAGGGGAGAATGAGGGACCAGAGACAGGGGAGCAAGAGAAGGTCAGATAGACAGTTTTGCTTCTGAGGCCTAAAGTATCCAACCTTATAACAAATGACTGTAATGAGGGTGGAGGGGTTATAGACCAGGAACTATGGGAAAAAACATATATATATCACAACCTTATCAAATACATGATTTGCAAGTGTTTTCTCTCATTTCTGTGAGTTGTCTTTTCACTTTCTTACTTGTGTCCTTTGATACACAAACTTTTTTTTTTTTTTTTGAGACGGAGTTTCGCTCTTGTTACCCAGGCTGGAGTGCAATGGCGCGATCTCGGCTCACCGCAACCTCCGCCTCCTGGGTTCAGGCAATTCTCCTGCCTCAGCCTCCTGAGTAGCTGGGATTACAGGCACGCGCCACCATGCCCAGCTACTTTTTTGTATTTTTAGTAGAGACGGGGTTTCACCATGTTGACCAGGATGGTCTCGATCTCTTGACCTCGTGATTTACCCGCCTCAGCCTCCCAAAGTGCTGGGATTACAGGCTTGAGCCACCACACCCGGCCTGCACAAAAATTTTTAATTGTAATGAAGTTCAACTTTTTTTTTTTATTTGGTTGCTTGTGCTTTTGGTGTCATAATTAAGAAATTGTTGCCTAATCTAAAGTCATCAAAATTTTCACCTATGTTTCTTTCCAAGAGTTTATAATTTAGGCTCTAATATTTAGGTATTTGATACATTTTTGATTTGTTGTATATAGTGTGGAGTACAGACTCAAATTCATTCTTTTGCATGTGATAGCCAAGTAGCTCGGCACCATTTGTTGAGAAGACCATTTTTTCTCCATTGAATGGTCCTTACACCCTTGTGAGAAATTAGTTGACTACAGATGGGTTAACTTCTAGACCAGGTGTCCCCAAACTATGGCCTGTGGGCCGCATGCGGTCCCCTGAGGC